GTTAAATAAGAATTGGGTAGTATTTAATAAGGTGCCTACAGATTTGCTCGACATTGTCGGTCGACAGTAACGATTGAGAATTATAGACGTTTTCGAGGAGTTTTAGAGTGCTTATTACGAATGTAGCATTAATTTCTAAATCCAAGATGGTTGACAACAATTTTCAAAAATGTATTTTTGGTAAACCATAAGGAAATGGCATGTATATCTGAATGCAAGATGGAGGACAAGACTTCTAATTCTTCTTCTTCTAATTCTTTGCTATCTTGGATTTAGAAATATGTGCTATATTCGGAATGAGCAGCCCCTAATACCTTGAAAACGACACCCAACTTGCCATTATTCGAAAAATCGTGCCGGCCACCTTGGATTTAGAAATTAGTGCCATGTTCTTAATGAGCACCCCCAAATACCTCGAAAACGACACCCAACTTGCTATTATTTGAAAAGTCATGTCCGCCATCTTGGATTTAGAAATAAGTGCTATATTCCTAATGAGCACCCCCAAATACCTCGAAAACGATCCCCAACTTGCCATTATATGAAAAATCGTGCCCGCCATCTTGGATTTAGAAATGAGTGCCATATTCGTAATGAGCACCCCCAAATACCTCGAAAATGTTACCCATATTGCATTTATTTCAAAAGTCGTGTCCGCCATCTTGGATTTAGAAATAAATGCCATATTCGTGATGAGCACCTCGAATACCTCGAAAACGATTCCCATATTGCATTAATTCGAAAAGACGTGTCCGCCATCTTGGATTTAGAAATGAGAAAAGTCGTGTCCGCCTTCGTGTATTCAGATATAAATGCCATTTCCATAAGGATTACCAAAAATAAATTTTTGAAAATTCCTGTCACTTGACGTTGTCGATCAACAGTAACGATCGACAAAATCGAGCAAATCTGTAGGCACCTCTAACTTAACGATGAGTTAAGCAAGATACAATTTCCCCACTTTTGAGGGAAATGTGGCATCATTATTTGTATATTTGTGTGCGTGCCGACGAGCGTAAATAGAAGTTGCTTACGCCTACATGAATTTGATTTTTGCCTCACTTGTGACAGTTCGTTTTTTATGAAACCATCATTCTATGCGTTATTATTCTAAGCATTTACCTATGCCTTGTTCCATTTGAAGAAAACAACAGATTTTATAATCTCAGTACAGAGTACTAAAAAACCGACCTCAAAAGTACGTGGAATTACGGCTATTTGCTAAGTTTTATTGAAATATCCCCTAGTTCGCCACTATACAGGACTTGACACTGGAGATAATAAAAATAGGTTCTCACTACGACACTACTCAAAGTATATCGAGGGACAAAAGCCTTGAATTGGAGAAATAGCAAAATCAACTAAATAATTGTCAAAAGTAATTGCTCCTAAATGAAAGTTAGGCGCTATTTATAAAAATAAATCTTCATGCGTGAACAGCCACCCTTAGAGGTGGACGATTTCCTTCAAAATGAAATGAGACCACTATGGAAGTACCCCCTTTCCAAAAAAAAAGAATCATGAAAATCGGTTCACAAATACCGGAGTTATCACGTAACATACATACAATAAAAAAAGAACATACAGTAGAATTAAGAACCTCCTCCTTTTTTGAAGTCGGTTAAAAAAAAGAAAAAAAAGAACATACAGTCGAATTGAGAACCTCCTCCTTTTTGAAGTCGGTTAAAAATAAAGATTTATGTCAATTCCCTAAAATGTATTCAATACAGGGTGTTTACGAAGTTAATCAGGACGTAAAAAGTGACAACTAAAAATTTAATTAGTCTTTTATTTTTTTTATCTTCTAAATCCCGGATAATATGAAATATGCTGAAAAAATGCTAAGCAAAAACTTACAATGAGTTTTTAGTTTCAATTGAGCTCGCCTTGTATAATCTTTGAACTCTTTCTGAGACTGAATAGAGTTATAATTACGTCTTTAAAGTTCTATTTAATTACACGTAAATATTTAATTTGTAAATAAATTGAAGTAGTAACATACACACACAGAACTTCACACACACAAACACTGCGTGTGTAAACAGAAGTAAACAGAAAAAAACTAACTTTACTAACACTTAATTTTGACACTTTCCTTTTTTCTTTAAAATTAATTAAACTTTATTAATTGTTTATCTCACTGTTATCGCATTGGAGAGTTCTTGTAATTTAACTAATATATTGGAAACGTTATCACCAAGGGGTGGAAAACTGGTGTCCTGAAATACAGGCCTTGAGCCTAATTTATCAGTCTCCTATAGAATAGTTCACATAGCACTTTTATTTTATTGCGTGTTGTTGTTGTATTGTAGTGAAGAATAAATAAATTTATTATTAATTATTTTTTATCCTTTTAATTTGTGGATATTCTTTCATTATATGCTTTGTTATGATAAACTAATAGATTATAGTTACAAGAAAGAATTAGTTTTAATAATATAAAGTAAAATTATTTTTGTACATGGAAAAAATAAGGAATTTTCAAAAGCTAAGGCTCAGAAGTTGTTCGAGAAGTACAGATGCTTTATGTTTTGGCGCCGACTGTGTAGATACCCCGTTTACAAAGACAATGGGTTCAACTTTCACACGTCTTTGAAGAATTGTTAATGAAGTAAATTATCTCAAATTTAGAAGAGACCTTTGTCTAAAAGTAGAACGTGAATGGGCTATAATTAATATTTAATCCATATTTAGATATCAATACCACGTAGCACAAGGCATCAATTGCTGCAAACAAATCTTTTTAGAAAAAGGCGACAGTAAATAGTTGGACTTTGATGATAATTCCGCGTTACAGTTACTAAATATTAACGGTATCGGTGTAAACACGAGAATCCGCATAACGACGAAATATGTATGAACAAAGAGCACCAGCTAAGCCATCGATTTGTGAAAAAAAGAAGTACAGTAACAAATAAATTAATAGTTTCTCGCTTACCTTCAAAGAGTGAAAGAACCGCCTGGGGGTAGATATCAAATTAATATTGAGATGATCCGAGTCGTTGTAGCGATAAGCTGATTTTATTTGCGCCATCGTTGTCGCTAGCCGACTCTCTTTTATCTTTTATCGTCCAACTGACTCTTACAATACGCTAACCCAGTTCTAGCTTAACCCCGGAATCCTTAACCTTTGTTACCAGAACCTAATCACGACTAAGTCATTAGATGTTGTCAGCCACACTTGTTCTTGTAAAATGTAAGTACTTACATGTGTCTAGTATTCGTTGGTATTTGAGAACAAAAAAATTTCATAACTACAAACTTATTGTGAACTATCAAAGCTAATTACCGCTCATAATCATTAAGATGTGTGAGTGTGGGTGTAATTTGTGGTTGTCTATGTGTGTGTCCATGGCACCCGCAACACAGGGTTTCCCTAGTGCATGCGTGCGTGGGTGCATGGGTGTGTGTGTGCGTGTGTGTGTGTGTGCGCGCGTGTGTGCGAGTGTGTGTGCATATTAATGCACACATATTCACACATATTCATTAGAATAAATTTGAAAAGACAGAAATAATTAATTACCAGTTACGAACTTAAATTCGATAAATGAAACGTTTCTCATAATTCTAAAATGCTGAAGATATTTTAGAAAACACGCAACTGGTGACGAAGCCCAGGTTTGAATGAAAAACTTTATGAAAACACTTCAACTTTGTACAAAATTATGAATTTAAATATTGGAAAAGCACATACTGCTCCGCGCAACGGTTTTAACTCCAAAACGTAGGAAATTTGTTTAAATTTTACATGTGCGGTTAAGTTTCAACAGAGCTCACTTTAAGAAAATTAAAAACACTGTGCTTTGTTTCACATATTAATTCTAAGTTATTCATTAAATAATAAAACGATATACATGTAATGCCCATGAAATATACTTTACGTCATTAATTAGTATTATTAGGTTGTATATAACCAACACTAGACATTATACACAGTATATTGTCGAAACGTACAATTTGTAACTTTTGGATTGAGGGTACGGTATATTTTATTAATTTTGTATAAAATAATAGTTTTATAGCGATAATATTTTAATTGTTTATTCTGTAAAGACACTTTAGACACTTCATCAATTTGTTGTTTTAAATAATTATAAGCAACTATTTATTATACACAATGAAACATGTAAAAACCACATAAATGTAATTAAAACTATAGTCAAATATTATTTATTCATTAAAAGAACGCATAATTAGATATAATTCTAAATAATTAATTCCCGGTACGACGAACTTAAACGAACTTTTATAAATTGGTTCTGGGTGTTTTGTGTAGTAGACTTGAAGTCAATTACCTTACTTTACAATTCCTAGTTTATGATCTGATAATTGTTTGCCTGGTATATTATTATTATTATGTACATTATGCATCACTTAGGATATTATTATTTATTATTAACATTGAATTCTGAACTAGTAAATGTATTTAATAAAAAATACATTAATAATTCATATATTGCCTTCTAATAAACTTGTGTAAAATCAGTGTTATTTTGGTACTCGGCACGAAGCACCAATAATTATTTACAATAAAAATAGGTGTAATCCTTAGGTGCTCAAATGGTACAATTTACATGATTATTGAATGACATACCGACCGATCGGTTTAAAACAATAATAAAAAACGAATTAAATAATTTAGATACTACAAAGATTGCAGTTAAATAACAAGAGCTGCACGGGAGCGATGGTAATAGCGGTCGCGCGGCACCTTAGCAGCGCCATTACGCTATGTTGAGCTCGATGAAACATGGCTCCGATGTGACTGACTGGAGAATAAAATGACAGTCATAGCTCTTCGTCTCATCAAGCATTCAACAGGTTTACCATTATATTGATGGAAAGCTTCCATGAAAGAGCCGCGAGTTACGACGCCTGCCACGGCACATGGCGGTTGCGGCCACCTCGGAGGGGGAGACGACGCTTTCGCACGGTGCAGCCGTGCAGGACGCTCCAAGCGAAGTACAAATAAGCAATTAAACCATTAAGATGCTACTTACGCGAGTGAAACGCGGTGAGTATGTTGGCGCGACACTTGTTGTTGTGTGTGTGAGGCCGCGTGGCCGGGCTGCGGCAGACTGTTGCTCCCCGGGCCGCTTCACTTGTTACGTGCCGCCCGCCCGCCCTGCGCGCCCCCCGCCCGCCGCGCGCGTCGCGCCCCCGAAACCTTCGACAACCCCGCCCCGCATCCGCTCACCAATATCACGGGTCCTTCACTTGGCAGCATCCGTCTTACTCACCTAGCTACAGGCAAACGTCAACCTAAAAATTCGGAATCTATCCTTCATTCAGGTATTGCCAACGGGCAATAATGAGGAACGCCTCACAAAGAAATATTTTGAGTCGGCGCTATTATATAACAATGTAACAAACAAAATATTAAACAGATTTAGTAAAATTCATCGTTCACAAATTTTCAATTAACGTAACTAAATTTTGTGTATCACATTTGCTCAGAGTATAATAGTCTATTAAAATGTAAATTTCACTTGATACCCAAACGGTATGGTTCCATTACACTTTAGGAGTTTTCTCTACAACTTAATCACCTGTGTTCAGTAAGTTCTCGTGTGATAACATGTATAACTGCAATTTTCTATGTAATTCGTTCCATCAGGGTAATAAATTACATTCTAATTGCTTGAATTGAAATACATACGTATTATTATTTCCTTTGTGGCGGCCACTAGGCTTGTGCCAGTGTCAGTTTTATAAGAATAATACAAAAATTATGGCGATCATCACCAATGTCAGTATTACATACAAATTTTCAAAGTCCTATTTTCAACGTATGAATATATCAAGGTCACAAAAACAATACAGTATAATCAAAAGGCTGATGTTATTTTGACACTTGCCAAACACAGTGATATTTCAAGTAGCTAATTTTTTGCTACAAACACCGGCAACATTGTAGTCAAATTTTAAAAGCACCAAGTCAAAATTTATCCGTAACTTAACAGTCTTAACATCAAAAACATTACACATTTAAAAGTATGTACTTAGAACTTTAAAGCTCAAACGTGAAAACTACCCTAGCCGTATACAAGGAACTTTTCGCAGCACTTTGCCCGTAACCCTCACCTTGTCTTCAATCCGACACCGATTTGTCGGACATGGCACCTATCTGCAGACTAAGGTAGTCGACAGTCTTGTCAAACACTTGGTGATCGATCGAGCTTGGCGACAGATCGCGTATCGGCGCCACCAGATTTGCGATAATCCCCATAATTAGACGCTGAGCACGCTTGCCCTCTCCCTCGTCAATTCACGGAAACGCCGCCGCCAGCTCGGTTTCGTAATTATGGGAACTTAATGAGAAATAATTTAATTATAGCCTAGAAGTTAAGTGATTAAAGATACGTAATATGTACGCTGTCTAATTTATCTTGGCATATAAAAGAGCAAGAGCAAATATCCCTAGACTAAGAAAGTCCCATGGAAGAACGTGTTTCTTACACGTTCTTCCATGGGACTTTAACCTTTCGAGCAAGCGACTAAATAGATATAAAAATTGTATTTGTTTGTCATATTACTTGTTGTCATGTGACTAGTAGAACTATTATAATAATTTCGTTGTTTATCAGTTTCTTATGTCTTTTGAACGTTCAAAATCACAAACTTTCATTATAAAAATGCCAAAGTATAAAGTATTAAGTACTAATTTCACATTGGAGTTAAGCATACATCAAATGCGAGAACATTAATACAAGACGATCCCAGTGTTATACATTGCAAACAAGAACGTCAAATACCCCATTAAACAGTTGCTTATTTTCGCTTACAAACATACAATTCCTACAATATTATTCCCTATGAGATGTAAGTTGAACAGCCTTTGTTTTTCTGTATATTTCTAAGAGAAAATTCGTTGGGCTTATCAAAAATTATATAAAAGCTTTTGCAGTGTAAACCATCGTTAATATTTTCTTAGAAAACTATATTATATAATGTATATAGCCACCTCAGTTGAAGGAAGTCCCACAGTATTGAGAGTACACAGCAACACCTACTGATTCTTTTGTTAATGTATTCAAGTGACATATCCAACGTAGATGTTTCTCAATAGTAACTTTAAGAAAACTTTTATATCATATACCTCCTCAATCTCAAAACTTTGATTTGCACTTAGTTTTAATATCAATAAAACGTTTACATAATTCCGAAATTTGAGTAATTCTTTAGTTAATCATCAAATTCAAACTCCTGGAAAAGCTTGTTCACCACCAGTTAACGAATTTCCTAACCAGGAACAACCTTTGCAATCCTTTCCGGTCCGGATTCCGCACCGGTCATAGTACGACTACCGCACTCACGAAAATGACTGACGACATCCGTATGGGCATGAAAAACCAGCAATTGACTGTTCTGACATTGCTTGATTTCAGTAATACCTTTAGTGATGTTGACTTTGATCTGTTATGGAAGTCTTACGTTTACTTAACATATCTCCAGCAGTTATTAATTGATTTCGAAGCTACCTTTGGGGACGTCGGCAGCGCATCCGTTATGAGGTTTCATTCTCTACGTGGTGCAGTATTTCTGCCGGGGTCCCACAGGGGGGTGTCCTTTCTCCTCTCTTATTTTCTATATTTATTAACACATTCCCTCACTTCTTCCTATCATCTTAATGCTGATGACGTCCAAATTTACACCCAGTCGTCACTTAACAACTTATCATATGCCATCAATGCCACCGATGTGGACCTTCAATCTTATCTTGACTGAAGTCGGTATTTTGGTCTAAGGGTTAACCCATCAAAAATACAATGCATCACTATTAGTAGTCCTTGGTACGTATCTCGTGTTGATCTTAGTTCATCACCACCAGTAATTTTCGTTGGCGTTCGTATTCCTTATTTGGACACAGTCAGGAATATGGGGGTAATTTTTGATCGGTGACTTACATGGAAGCTGCATGTTGCTGAGGTCAGCAGGAGGGTGTTTGGTGTACATTTTTCACTTAGGAGATTTCAGAACTTTTTGCCTATTAAAACTAAAATTGCGCTGGCTCAGAGCATCCTACATCCGATACTGAGCTATGCAGATGTGTGTTATCTGGATTTGACAGTCACCCTTCTTAATAAATTGAAACGGCTCCAAAATATATGTGTAAGATTTATCTCATGTTTCCCAGTTTAGCGCTCAACTTAAGTGGCTACCCATCCGCCGACGTAGAGACCTTCACACACTTTTCCTTCTTAAAGTAGAGTACTTTATTTTATCCCTTTGCGCCTCTTGACCTTAAAGAACGTTTTAATTTTCACTCCTCTACGCTCTGCCGTCCTCTTCGGTCCTCTGATATACTCATACCAAATATGCCTCCGATTTTTACTCCAACTCGTTTACTGATCTGCTATCCGGTTATGGAATTCTCTCCCTGAATCATTTCGACGATCCCCTTCTCTTGATTCCTTCAAACGACTATTATAGTTAAGGAACATTTCTGTTGGAGATTTCATTCAATTGTAATCCTGGCTCTCTACTCGTTGACTTTATGTCACCTTTTTTCGACTGCTGTAATTATTCTCTTGTTATGTCAGCTCTGCTAAAAGTATATTTTATATCCTAAATTTGTGTATAATTTATATTCCATTAGGTTATGATTCCGTACAATTAAAACAACGTAATCCTCAATATGTCCGGAAATAATTATAATAATTTTTCTCAAGAAAAGTTACGCGGTCGTGTGAATTACGCCTAATGGAAATTTGTCATGAAAAATGTATTAATACAAGAAGATTTGTGGACATGTCTACGCGGTTACGACAAAGCCCGAGGTTAGAAATCGGCTTGATGAGAAATCAAAATCCAAATTTGTTTGAGCGTCGAAAAGTCGTGATTTTGTCATTTAGTGTCGGCGGAGACAGCTGAAGATGCTTGGGATGCACTAGAACGTGCGTATGATGACGAAAGAACTCAGTTCGAGAGTGCGGTACTTCAGAACTTGTGCGCCGTTAAACTTGAAAACTTCACTAACATGGAAGCTTATGTAAATGAGGTATTATCATCAGCGCAGCAATTGGCGAACATGAAAAAGCTAATTGACGATGAGTTTCTGGGTCCAGTGATGCTGAAAGGTGTACCGACGGAATACAAGCCGATGATCATCGCACTAGAGCATTCAGGGGCTGTCATATCGTCTGATCTGGTAAGAATGAAACTCGTATGAGCTAGAACGATTTAATATGAAAGACTGCAAGGCAGCTAAGACGCCCATAGACGTAGGTCTGAAGTTTTCTGACAGCGTAACTCATGATAGCAGGCTACGGTATCAAGAATTCATAGATTGTCTGATGTACTTGTCTGTGACCGCTCGACCTGATATTTCATTTGCCGTTAGTTTCCTTAGTCAGTATACTACCCGGTATGCAGCGGAACATTTTAAGCGTGTATTGCATTACTTAAGTGGCACATGAATTTAGGTCTTGTGTACAGAAAAAGTATTATACGTGATAAATATTGCTTGTATGATTATACTTACGCTGATTGGGCTAACGGGGCTGATTGGGCTAACGGGACTGATTGGGCTAACGGGGCTGATCGTAAGTCATATACGGGGTTTGTTTATAAATTAGGTAGGAATGACATTTCCTGGGGTTGTTATAAGCAATCTTGTTTCGCACTTTCGTCCACCGAGGCGGAGTATATTGCTTTGTCAAAAGCAGCCAAAGAAGCTGTGTACGTTCGTGCAGTACTTGCTGAGTTGACGGGGCAAACTGAGACTGTGATTCTGTGACAATCAGTCTGCAGCCAAACTTGCCACTAACCCTGTGTTTCATAAGCGCACCAAGCACGTGGATATCAGATATCACTATGCCCGAGAGGCTGTTCATAACAAAGACTTATAGTTAAGGTATATGCCGACGGAACAAATGATAGCTGATGTACTCACGAGAAAGCTTTACATTATTGTAAGCACCATTTATTTGTTGGTGAGCTGCTGAAGCAAGTCAGCCAGGATTAAGTGGGCGTGTTGGAAATTTCATTCAACTGTAATCCTGGCTGTCTGCTCGTTGACATTGTCACCTTTTTTCTACTGCTGTAATTGTTCTCTTGTTATGTGAGCTC